TCTGCGGGGGCGGGGGCGTCCTGGCCTCTCCTCCTAGTGGCCCCGCCACCCTGGTCAGCAAGTCCCAGAGCAGCCTTGCCACCAAGACCCCCTCATCCCCCGCCCAGCAGTTGATTAGGCGCAAAAGAGCTGCACCGTGCAACAAGCCATTTTCCTCCACATCACAGCCCACTGCCGCTGTCCCTGGCTTGGCAGCTGCCCCGCAGGTGCCTGGCGCCATGTCCCATGCTGGGCCCAACAGCCAGCAGCCCCGCCCCCCAGGTGGCAGCACAATGCCGGCCCCCAGCAGCATGGGGCTTTCGGCAGCACCCCCAGGTTTGGGGAGAGGAGATGATGTTGCAGATCTGTGCTCCAGCTTTGGGGCTCTCAGCATCACGGCAGGAACGAGCAGGACCCCAAGTGGCCCGCAGGGCTCCAGGGCAAGCCAGGGCCCAAACACGGGGGGCCGCCCATGCCAGAGCACCCTGTCGGGGACCGCTGGAGCCAGCACGACGAACCACCCTGTATCGGGAGCCCCGAGTGCCCCTCCCTCCAGTCACATCCCCAGGCATGTGACCAAGCAGAGGTCCAGCTCAGATGGCTGCAGCACTGCCAGCAAGGCCGTCTGCGGGGGCGGGGGCGTCCTGGCCTCTCCTCCTAGTGGCCCCGCCACCCTGGTCAGCAAGTCCCAGAGCAGCCTTGCCACCAAGACCCCCTCATCCCCCGCCCAGCAGTTGATTAGGCGCAAAAGAGCTGCACCGTGCAACAAGCCATTTTCCTCCACATCACAGCCCACTGCCGCTGTCCCTGGCTTGGCAGCTGCCCCGCAGGTGCCTGGCGCCATGTCCCATGCTGGGCCCAACAGCCAGCAGCCCCGCCCCCCAGGTGGCAGCACAATGCCGGCCCCCAGCAGCATGGGGCTTTCGGCAGCACCCCCAGGTTTGGGGAGAGGAGATGATGTTGCAGATCTGTGCTCCAGCTTTGGGGCTCTCAGCATCACGGCAGGAACGAGCAGGACCCCAAGTGGCCCGCAGGGCTCCAGGGCAAGCCAGGGCCCAAACACGGGGGGCCGCCCATGCCAGAGCACCCTGTCGGGGACCGCTGGAGCCAGCACGACGAACCACCCTGTATCGGGAGCCCCGAGTGCCCCTCCCTCCAGTCACATCCCCAGGCATGTGACCAAGCAGAGGTCCA